TGCCTTTGAATTGTGGTGTTGGCGAAGAATACTGAATATAATACGGACTGCCCAAAGAATGAACAAATTTGTCTTGGAAGAAGTACAACCAGAATGCTCCTTAGAAGCAAGGATGGTGAGACTACGTCTCACATACTTTGCACATGTTATCAGGAGGGATTAGTCCCTGGAGAAGGACATCATTCCTGGTAAAGTAGAGGGCCGGCAAAGAACAGAAGGACCTTCAACAAGACGGACTGACACAGTGGCTGGAACAATCGGCTCAAGCAAAACAGCGATTGTGAGGATGGCGCAGGACCAGGCAGTGTTTCATTCCGTTGTGCATCGGGTGGCTATGAGTTGGAACTGATCAAGACAGCACCAAACAACCACCACCACCACCACCACCACCACAAACATGTTTTTTGGTTGTTTTTACTGTTGTTGCAAAATTGACACTTTTTCTCATGTACTTCGTGTCTTTATTTACCTTGGTGAAGATGTGATGACTTAACCCATATTTTGTCTTGCCTTTCCCATCACCAAAAATAAAAATTGTCTACTATCTAGAATGTGATTCTCCCTCCCTCTCCTCCTTTCTGTGTGTATATCTATTCTTGACTTTTTATAATAGTGGGACCATACAATATTTCTCTTTTTGTGATTGACTTATTTCACTCAGCATAATGTTCTCCAAATTCATCCATATTGTCTTTCATGGACTCCTCACTACTCTTTATCCAACAAAAACCCATTGCCATTGAGTTGACTCCAACTCATAGCAATCCTACAGGACAGAGAACTGCCCCATAGGGTTTCTAAGGAGTGGCTGGTGGGATCGCACTGCCGATCTTTTGGTTAGCAGCCATAGCTCTCAACCACTGCGCCACCAAGGCTCCTTATTCTTTATAGTTGCATAATAGTCCATTGTATGTATGTACCACAATTTGTTTATCCATTCATCAGTTGACGGACAGTTAGGTTGTTTCCATTTTTTGCTATTGTGATTAGTGCTGTAATGAACAAAGGTGTGTGCGTGTCTATTCCTGTCACTGCTTTTATATCTCTAAGACACATACCTAGGTGTGGGACTGCTGGATCATAAAGTATTTCTATCTCTAGCTTTTTGAGGAAGTGCCATACTGTTTCCCAACCCCACTATCAATGTACAAGGGTTCCAAATGCCCTACAACCTTGCCAGCATTTGTTGTTTTCGGAGTTTTTTTTATCATTGCCATTTTTGCAAGGGTGAGATGGTATCTTGCTGTAGTTTTGATTTGCATATCTCTAAAGGCTAATGATCTCATGCCTCTTTTTAGGTATTTGTTGGCCGCCTGAGTGTCCCCGTTAGTGACACTGGCTTTTAAGAATGAGCTGAACTCTCCCAAGAGTCAAGGGGGAAGTCTTCCCAGGAAGTGGGAACTAGACATAAGACTTCAATGCAGCAGAAAAGTATATACAAGAATTATATACAAGAAAATTACCAACTGAACGAAGTAGGTGGGTGACTAGAGAATCACCTTTTGAAGAGCTTTGAAAGTTAGAAGTCTCTAAATGGCCCAAGAATGCTCATTCATTCAGCAAATGTTGAATGTTCCAGGCCTTGTGCTAGACTCTAGAGACACACATATTCAGATAGGGTCCCTGCCCTCCGGGAATTTACAAGCTGGTAAATCAATATAACATGGTAAGAGCTATGGGTGAAATCTACACAGTGCTGCAGGAAAAGAGTAACCAAGCTAGAACGCCTTCTTGGAGGTGATACTTGAATTAAGTCTTAAAGAATGAATGATCAGGAGTTATATCAGTGAGAGGGAAAGGAGAGGAAATACTCACCTCAAGAGTTAATACGATAGTAATTACCTTCCCCCCTAATCTCATCAGTACTGTAAATATCACTTCCCTGGGACTGATTTCATTATAAAAATACCTTTATAAATATAACCTTTGTTTTCAAGTTCTGAAAGGGCATTAAGAGTATTATGGTACAGCATGTAACAAAACAAGTTGTGAGTATAACCAGTACACTAATTGTCTTTCCTAATACTTCTGACCCAGGAAAATTTTATAGTCTAGTACAAACTGGTTATGAAAACCACTCTTTTCTGCTAAAAAGCATACAAACAAAACTGAACTGAACAATGTGGACAGCAAACCACTGATAGCTGAGTTCAATACTCCTTGTAACCAAACTTCCCAGGGACACACACTTCCCAGAGATCATCCAATCACGTCTGGGCTTCACGGATGGAACTAGGCTGCCTACTGCCATCAGGGTATATGGCTGGTTTTCTGGGCTTGATCCCCAAACATGCTTGATCCCCAAACAAGTGACCAGTTAGCCTCTTCCAGATTTCCCAGCACACACAGGAGGGCTCTGAAATTGCACCTGGGGTAAGAGCTTGAACAAAAACTTGGCCTGGTGGAAAAGGAAGAAACCTGATGCTTGCTTCCCCCCTACTTTTGCTGGTAAAACTGCAAACCAAAAGAGCTGGAGTGTGGGAAGCAAGGATTATGGAGGTAGAAAGACCTAACAAAGGTCTGCAAAGAACAAGAGCTCCAAAGACGGGAGCCGAGGGGCCACAGTGGAAGAAAAATGTGTTTTCCTCCGTCAGCTTGTGGCTTCCTCTTTCTCTGCTGAGGTAGCAACTTTCCAGTCTAGTCCTGCATTAACAGACTCCAGGCTCTGAGCTTGTCAGGAACTGCCTAACTGGACTTCTGGCAGCACTCAAGTTTTTGAAATGGTTAGGTTATCTTGGGAGAAGTCCTAGATATAAGAGAGAGAACCTGGGTGCATGTAGAGAGAGGGGAGAAGAGGGTAGTATTAGAACTCAGGTTTTATTATTCTCAACTCAGGTCCTAGGTTCTTTTTCTGAGGGGCTCATCATTCCCTTCAGAGAGAAGGGCTCTATACTTGCTGCCTGGATGCAGGGAACTTGAAGACACAGGAAAAAGAGGGAGCAGCATTTACAAGGGTTTTCCCTGGCAGCAATGGTCTTTCTTCTGCCTCCCATAAATGTTGGTGTCCCTCAGGGCTCTGTCCTCAATCCTCTTCTCACTCCCCAGCGTAGCTCAGTTATCACCTAAGCACTGATTCCTCCTACCCCAATTCCATACATTCAACTCCCCCTGGACATTTTTATCAGAATGTCCCTTAGGTACCAAAACTACTCATCAAATGCAGCAGCAGAGTGAAGAGGAACGTTTTAGGCTCTGGGGTTGCAAAGACCTGGGTTTGAATCTCAGGTCCACTGTATCTAAAGCACTGTGCATGGTGCCTGGCCCATGCTGTTCTTCCTGTACATTCTATCTCAGCAGAGACTTAAGGCCCTGGCAAACAAGTGTTAAAGCAAACCAGACAGCATGTTCACAGTTTAATCCATGGAGCCTTAAAATAAAAACCATCTAAAGAGTATTTGCAGTTCCTTTCAGGCATTTCTGAGTATTATCAGATTATAATTTTTGTAAGTGATATCTTCTCCCATACTTATAAAGAAGCTAGCTTGGAAAACTACCTCAAATATGTAATGGTGGCCCAGATTTGGCCTGTTCTGCTGAGTAAAAAAATCCTGTTATTACTTCTAAATAAAAAAATGATGTTTGTTCTAAGCTATACTGTTAAGACTTAAAATTGCAATAATACTTCATTTACTTCTTGATGTATGTGAAAAGTATTTAAAAATATATACTTACACTAAATCTTTCTTCAATCCACCCATATCTACCTCCATTGCCACGACCCTAGCTCCACCCACCATCACCCCTACCTGGGCCATGGTAATAAGTCAGTTCATGGCTCTGCTTCCAGTGAGACCCCTTCCCCCACAATTAATCCACTAACTCTGACCATATGACTCCCAGGCTCAAACTCCTTCTGTAGTTCACCTGTACCCTTACGATAAATTCCAGACTCCTTAGTAATACACTTCATAATCTAGCCCCTGCCTTCCTCATTTCAGACTCCATGTTCCAGACACTGCAGAATCAGCTACCACTTGACTCCAGCCCTCTGCATACTTTCCTTCCCCAAGGCCACCCTTGCCTGGATAACTGTTGCCCATCCTTCAGCTAGCTTAAACTTCTGGCTCCTCCCATGTACTGGTATCCTTAGCACCTTGCTGCATTTTTCTATTTACATAACAGTTTCCCCCACAAACCTGTCTGAACTCAATCCTATACAGCCTGCCCATATGCAAGGAGGAGATATGACAGCTGGAGTTTGACCAGCTGGAGGAGCGTTTGAGGAAGCCACTGCCTCCATCTTCCTTTACTTTGGAAACCTAGAAGGCATCATCTCTGGAGAATCTCAAAGCACTTTACCATCGTCAAGAAACCCCAGTGGTCCCAGACAGCATCATATTGAGATTGCTCCTGTATTACAGATGAAGAAACTGAGACCTTGGGAAAAGTAACGGGCATGATTAGATCTATCAAGACTCTTCAAAGTGATGTCCTACAGCCTTAAGTGTGGGCAGACGGAAGAGAAGAGTTAATTAACAGTAGCCTCATTCGGTGAAGGTTCAGATCTGAGTTTCACTTTAACAGAGCTCTGGAGCGAGGTGGGGACACAGAAAAACATGCGCCAGCTGTTTCCAGAAACAAGGCAGGTACCTAAGCAAGCGAATTCATCCCCCTCCTGCCACTTCTGAAAAGAATCTCTGAACCTCCATGGCAAGTCAGAGCTCTTGGAAAAATCGTGGAGGTGATCAAACAAAATGGAGATGCCAACTAACACTGAACACATGTGTGCTGGGAGAATTAAAGGCTCTATCTCATTTAATTCTCGCTACAGCTCTCATGAAGGAACTCTTTTTACCGCTGAGGAAAAGGAGGCCCAAAGAAGCTGAAAGCTTACCCAAGATGATAAAATAAATAAGAGGAGGCGCTCAAATCTGAAACCAAGTATAGACACCTCTAGAGCCCGCGCTCTTCGCTCCATCACAGGGGCGGACACAACTGTAGTCAAAGACTGAGGCCATCTCCTCGGGGAGGAAGATGGGGCAGTAACAACAGAAACTCACCTCGACAAGAGCACAGAACCTGAACGGGGTAGTGTGATCTCTGCTCAGCTCAGCGCCCAGCTCTGGGTCCAAAACGCCTCAGACTGCGGGAACGGTGGCCTGCGAGGGAAGTTGGCCGGAGCCGCCGTAAGTATGGCGGCAATGAATAAACTCCTCCCCGAGGGAGGGACTGGGGCCAGGAATACGGAGTTACCCATTGCGATCCAAGTCCGGCTCCCGCCCCGGGGGAGGAGCTGGGAGTTGGAAGCCAGAGCTGTAAGACTGTACCACCCCCTTCTCCCCTGGGCGCTGGAGGTCCGATTGGCCAGAATTCCGGCACGCCCTCCATCTCCAATGTTTGAAGACCTTGCGGAAAAGGAGATGCCCGCACCGCCGGCCACGTGGGTGGTCCCGGGGGCGGGACCAGGCCGCGCCTCTTGCTGGCCCACACTGCACCTCGCGCCAAAGCGCCCTCGCGCTAGCTCACGCTAGCTGCCTGTTTTCCGGCCAGAGGAAGAGGAGCTGTACCTGCCACGTTGCTGTTCTTTTGGGTGTCTGCCACCGGGAATGACAAATGCCAACCTTCGCTTCATTCTCTTCCTTAGAGTCAGATTGACTGGGTTTCCAGAGTTCATCTAAGATGGGCCCGTTATTTGCTCAGGCAAACTGAGGCGACACAAAGTTTTGTCAGAACAGAGGAGAGTTCAGGTCTCCTGACTCCGGGCTCTATAAAGTTCCTAGTCCCTCTATCTCGACCATGGGCCTTGCCTGCGCATTTATGTGCCTGGCAGTCAACTAAAGACTTTATTAACATGATTTTATTGAAACCTCACAACATCTGATCTGGTTGATGACCCCATTTTATGTGTTAAACCACTTGTATCTAGCTTACTTCCTTCTTCAAAATGTACTGGCTGTTGAACCATTTTGCAATACAGAGTTCGTTTAAGAGACAGTCTTAAGCCTCCTGAATTCCTTTTGCTGATTTTTTACCTCAAGTGGGAGAGTTAAAGTATAAGTGGTAGTGAGAGAAGAGAGGATGTGTTTGTGGCTACAGTGTAGTTCTGGCTTGAATGGACTGGACAAGGGATAAGGTGGTGGGGAAAAGGAAGTGCCCCTGTTGGTTAATTCTGGTAAGAAGGCAGGTGAGCCTTGGGCAAGGAAAGTTTATATCCTATGGTCCTGAGCGCCTCTCAGTACACATTTAGCAGTGTGGGACCATGACAATGCTCTCTCTGCTTGTCCAGATGATGCTTTGAGGCTTGAATTGACCCCACTGGCTTGTACTTCTCGTTAGATGCCATTGAGTCAGCCTCTGACTCACGGCAACCCCATGCACAGCAACAAAACACTACCAGGTCCTGCACCATCGCCTTGATCAGCTGCGGATTGGACTTTACGATCCACAGGGGTTTTTGGGTTTTTTTTTAATAATTTATTTCATTTTGTTTGTTTTTGTAAGGAGCCCTGGTGGCGCAGTGGTTAAGCACCTCACTGCTAACCAATGGCTGTTGGAACCCAGCAACTGCTTTGCAGGAGAAAGATGTGGCAGTCAGCTGCCATGAAGATTTCAGCCTTGGAAACCCTATGGGGTAGTTGTACTCTGTCTTAATGGGGTTAACATGAGTCGAAATTGTCTCCACGGGAGTGGTATGGGTTATTTTTGTTGAGAAAAAGTGCACAAATCTTAAGTGAACAGCTCTGAATTTTTGCAGTTTAACAACCACCCAGATGAAAATAGTATAGATGTTACCAACATACCAGAATCCTGTGAGGGAGGTATTCATGATCCATTTTACACATGAATGAGACTCAAAGTTTAAATAGCTTGCCCAAAGTCGCACAGCCATTAAATTACAGATTTGAGTTTTCAAATAGCCCTTGCCATTTGGGCTGACAGATGTCTTGCATTTATGTATTTCCTTGGCAGGGGTTGGGCAGGAGGCAGGGTTTTTCCAGTGTAGGCAAGCCCATGGGTGTCTGTCTGTCTCCCATCTTGCTCTTTCTCTCCCTGTGTCTCTTTCTCTTCCTCCTTGACTCTCCTTCCCCAATGCCCCTCCATATCTTTCCCCACCCCCTGGGGTTGATTTCCATTGTTTCCCTAATACAAGTAGTACCAGACGGACCAAATGTCCAACATATCACATCACCTATCCCCATAAAGACACTCAGATTCCAACTTTTAGAGTCAGAATTTATGATTACTCTTCTGGTGGCAGAACAGTTAAGCGCTATGTCTGCTGACCAAAAGGTCGGTAGTTCGAATCCACCAGGCTCTCCTTGGAAACTCTATGGGGCAGTTCTACTATGTCCTATAGGGTCGCTATGAGATGGAATTGACTCGACGGCAACAGATTTTTTGGTTTTTCCCCTCAGACACACCTTAGCCCAGCAAAGATTTACCATCAAGGAGACACCTGCTACCTGTTCCATTCCACTACTCCCACAGTCTTCCGCAGGGTTTGATGGATTCACTTCGTTACTTTTCCTCCTAAGTCTGATTTCTTAAAAGTTCAAAGTGCAATAATCCGGTGGCGACCCTGCCAACTAATGGAACTACTGAGTCATTCTGTGTCCCATCCCCCTCCTTCCCCACCTCTGGAAGTTTTAGTCTTTGTTAAGGACACAAGGATTCTTACATGCAAGCCTGGCCCTCCAATAGTTTTCACAGCAATAGTCGTCAAATTGAAGGTGTGCATGCTCATAGGTGTACATAAACACTCCAAAGCGTACTCAGGCATGAATAGTGTCAAGCTACGTTTCCTTTTCCTTAACTTAAATATACTCTATTTTCTAAAACTGATCTCCTAGAAAACACATCACCTCTTTCACAATCATCCTCCTCCCATTTTACGGAAGGCATGCCACTCACCAACTTGAGTCTTTCTAGGGTGTATTGCCCCAGAATGTAAAAACCTTGAGGGCACTAAGCAAAGACAGTTGAATATACTGGTAACTGGGTCACAATCCTTATACAAGTCTGTTGCCAATTCATTGCTTTCAAAATTATTGGCAAAGGCTAGGAAACCATTAAAAATAATTTGGAGGATAGATTTTTGTGATTCTTGGCATATAACTTGCAAAGAGATAAAACAATTCAATGTATTGCTTTTTACTATTTTCATCAACTTATGTGAACAGGAAAGACATTTCAGTACTTAAATCTGTAAAGACCAAAAATGAGAATGGAATTGGTGCTGAACCCTGTCTCGGTCTCAAAATGAGTAGTATTCATCCACTGGTACAAGGATTAACTGGAAAGAAAGATTCCCAGCCATCTCATTAAAATATGCATTTGAATTTTTATGTTTAATAAGGATCAAAATTTTTACTATATGTTATTTCTATAAATTGTGTAATAATTGCAAAAAAAAACCCATAATACGTAGAGCCTTGTGATCACAGGGAGTTTTTTTTAATTATATAAATTTGTCTATATATTGTGGTTACAGAAAAGGATGTTCATTTTAAAAACTCAAGCATAAAAATTGTTACATTAAGATAATATTCTGTGGGGAAGTAAAGCAGAAAAAATGAGCTCAAGGAGAAAAATGAACAATATTAAAATTAGCAACTGTTAAGAAGAAGCTTGTTTATTTTCTAGATGGATGATGGTGGGAATCAAATTGTTATGGTATTTAGATTTCATTGGATATATTTAAAGGAGTTTTGTTAAAATGCCAATATACTTATGATGAAAACTAATGGTATTTACAAATTTCAAAATTATTTTAAGGAGTGCTATTGTTATTAGGTGTTGTCAAGTCAGTTCCGACTCATAGTGACCCTATGTACAACAGAATGAAATACCGCCCAGTCCTGCACCATCCTCACAATCATTGTTATGCTTGAGATTACTGTTGTAGACACTGTGTCAACCCTTCTCGTTGAGGGTCTTCCTCTTTTTCACTGACCTTCTACTTTAGCAAGCATGATGTTCTTCTCCAGGGACTGGTCCCTCCTGATAACATGTCCAAAGTATGTGAGACGTAGTCTTGCAATCTTTGCCTCTAAGGAGCATTCTGGCTGTACTTCTTCTAAGACAGATTTGTTCGTTCTTTTGGCAGTCCATGGTATATTCAATATTCTTTGACAACACCACAATTCAAAGGTGGCTGAAAACTCCATGGCTTAGGTCAGGGGCACCTTAGTCTTCAAGGTGACATCTTTGCTTTTCAACACTTTAAAGAGGTCTTTTGCAGCAGTTTTGCCCAGTGCAATACATCTTTTGATTTCTTGACTGCTGCTTCCATGGGTGTTGATTATAGATCCAAGTAAAATGAAATCCTTGACAACTTCAATCTTTTCTCCGTGTATCATGATGTTGCTTATTGGTCCAGTTGTGAGGATTTTTGTTTTCTTTATGTTGAGGTGTAATCAGTGCTGAAGACTGTGGTCTTTAATCTTCATTAATAAGTGCTTCAAATCCTCTTCACCTTCAGCAAGCAAGGTCATGTCATCTGCATAACGCAGGTTATTAATGAGACTTTAACCAGTCTGATGCCCCGTTCTTCTTCATATAGTCCAGCTTCTTGGATTATTTGATCAGCATACAGATTGAATAGGTATGGTGAAAAGATACAACTCTAACACACACCTTTCCTGACTTTAAACCATGCAGTATTCCCCTTGCTCTGTTTGAACAATTGCCTCTTGATCTATGTACAGGTTCCTCATGAGCACAATTAAGTGATCTGGAATTCCCATTCTTCGCAATGTTATCCATCATTTGTTATAATCAACACAGTTGAATGCGTCTGTGTAGTCAATAAAACACAGGTCAACATCTTTCTGGTTTTCTGTGCTTTCAGCCAGGATGTATCTGACATCTGCAATGATATCCTGGGTTCCACATCCTCTTCTGAATCCAGCTTGAATTTCTGGCAGTTCCCTTGAAATACTGCTGTAGCCACTTTTGAATGATCTTCAGCAAAATTCTACTTGCATGTGATATTAATGAAATTGTGCAATAATTTCCGCATTTGGTTGGATCACATTTCTTGGGAATAGGCATAAATATGGGTCTCTTCCAGTTGGTTGGCCAGGTACCTGTCTTCCAAATTTCTTGGCATAGACAAGTGAGCACTTCCAGCGCCGCATCCATTTGTTGAAACATCTCAATAATTGGTATTCCGTCAATTCTTGGAGCCTTGTTTTTCATCAATGCCTTCAGTGCAGCTTGGACTTCTTCCTTTAGTACCATCGGGTTCCTGATTATATGCTACCTCATGAAGTGGTTGAATGTTGACCAATTCTTTTTGGTACAGTGTCTCTGTGTATTCCTTCCATCTTCTTTTGATGCTTCCTGCA